CGATGGACTGACAATCTGGGGTGTACCCCACATTTCTCCCATACACTGCTGGAGATAGGCACTGACCACCTATTACCCTTATGGATAAGAAGCAGAAGATGGATGGAGAACCATTAGTGCCTAGAAAAACTTATTTGGTGCACATAAACAGTTTTCAAGCATCTTGTATAAAAAGTTAAAATGAGTATGTCTATAAATTACTAAATCGCACATAAATAAAAAAGAACAGTAGGGCTTTGCAACTATTGATGCATGTAGCACATATATTGAATGTTGGAGTTGGGTATGGTTATTTGTTTTCAACAATGGTGTCTCCCTTGGTCGTCTCCTAAGTAAGTCCACTGAAGCTAATACAAGGACGAAAGGTGTGATCTGACACTGATGTTCCTTGAGCTTGACCTTTAATCTCTTTGTGAGCTTTTCTTAGCTCTTTTGTTAACATTCAATATTATGGATGATTCGTCTTAATTTTTACTCCAGGAGCCATTTTTAGGAAGGTTTGCTTAAGTCCCATGGATCCTAATTTTGTGAATAATATGTGCCACTGTGGTCACAGAAACATCATGCAGCTTAGAGGTGGTCTAATACCCTTTACCTTTAACATGCTTTTCTACAATTTTCTTTCTAATCTCTTAGGACAATTCTTTTCTTTGTTTCCTATCCATGTTGAATGTAGTAAAGACCATGTCATCGAACAGGACAGTAATTACCTGCACAATAAATATTGCAGTGTTAAAGTAACACTCAAGAGTACATTTGTCCCCACTCTCAATTAGTGTGGGACCAAATTTTCTCTAAAAGTGTTACTTTAACAATGCAACATTTACTGTGTGTAGCCTTATATGTAGACCCACTGACTGACTCTAATTGTTTGGCACACTTTGATTTAATATGTTCTTTGGTCACATTTTTTAAAGTATCCATCATTTTTGCTCAGGCCAGTGTTTAAAATTATTCTATTTGAAGCATTATTAAAAAGTAATGTCTGACTTTCATTTTTTCCTTTCTATATAATTTTTTGATCTTTTATTATTTTTGTCTGATTCAACAGATTTTTATGACCATTATAAGACCATAAGAATAGATAGAACTCAAGCTTAGTGTTCAGGCAAATAAATCCGATTAGAAGAAAGTCAGATGATGCCAAAATGTGACAGCAGAATGCTACTAAAACTGTCAGCTTGTTCTAAAACATTGCCTCAAAAAGAACAAATGTAATCAACATCATCAACATTGTTCTGTCAGTCTTTAATAATCATGTCTTTGAATCTTTTCTCAAGAAAAAAAAACAAGGATCCAGGTCTGAAAGAAATTTGCACATCTCCGTATGTGCATTCCAATTTTCTGAGCTCCCTTTGCTCCCAGTGAAGCCTTCAATCTAAACTGACATTGCATATATTCCTCCAGCTCGGTCTGTGTCAGCCAGGGTAGAGAAAGAAACAACAACTCAACAATGAGCTACATGTTTCCTGTAGTTGAAAGTCAAAAATAAGGGCTTCCATGTACAAGACTTTGCGTATATGATCAGTTTTTACAACAAGGAATAACAAAGAATTAAAAGAAAGGAACCATATGGGAGAAAGCTCTTTCTTGCTAATTTGGATGAAACTGAAAGCTGACAGATTCTTTTGGTGCCGTAACACCACTAGCTGCTTGTTAATGACTCTGAGGACTTTTTCAGTCTGCCTGCTCAGGTTTCTCTGCATTGCACTTCAAAGGGACTTGTAACTTCAAATTACTGCAGCTGAAAAACAAGTGGAAAGGAGCCAATAAACACATTTCCAAGCCTCATTATGATGCCCAGGGTAATGAAATGACCGCATTTGAATGTGTGACGCTAGTTTGTATTAGCAGCGTGGGTGAGCCAGTGTCAGTAGCAACACCTGGACGCTTGTAGACAGGGGCCAGTGCCCCTGTAAAACTGGTCCTGGCCTGTTATGGCACCTGTACTGAAAGCATTTAAATAAAAGTTTATTTTGTTTTATTGAACATTTTCCTTGATTTAAAGAGGCAAAACTATTTGCAGATGGTGTTGTGCAATTTTACCAGAAGAACATAAATACAATAAATAATTAGAACTGGAAATTAAAGTTAATTAACAGGAAATTCAAATCAAAGGTAAAACCATTAATGATTATTAAATGATTATAACTGAAATCTGCTTACTCACCAATGCTCTTTATTTTTTTATCCAAGGTTTTTATATCTAAGGATGCTTCTAGACCGGGTGTTAAAATCCAGTTGTCTTTCACCAGTTTAGTCATTTAGACTGTGACTATCACCATATAATCACCAACCAAAGGAAATTGTTGGTTGGTTTGTTAACCAAAAAGGTGGATCTGGCTCTGAATAATAAATTGTTCAATATCACAAACAACCACAGTTGAAATATTGGTATCTTTTTTACATAATAACCCCTATTGCAGTGTTATTGTATCTAATAACTATGCAAACATACACTACTGAAAATAAACCAAGTCAAGTAAAAGGCTAATCAAAAAAAAAATAAATAAAGGGAAAAAGTTTTAAGGCCTGGTGGATTCATGCATTTAGGGGTGTCCTTTAAAATAGCAGCAGCCAAATCCCTTTATTGTCTCAAAATGGGCAGAAATTGGTTCTCTGCATTTTGACCCATCCCATTAGGGGAGCACTGGGCTGCCATTGTTAGGCGCTGAGGGAGCAATCTAGAGTGGAGGCTGTTGTGATCGATCCGGTTACTTGTAGTATTTTCATTCTTAATATAAAAAAATATAGATTTTATGCACTGGAAACAAGAAAATGAAGTTGTTCTTTAGTTATTTTGAACATAAATGATCTTATTCCATTGTTGAGGAACAAATGCGAGCCAAACCCCCTGACGTCATGTCCCTTTAAATCCACGACGACCATCTTATTCTGACTAACAGGCTACATCTCTGGTACTACTACTTTGTTCAATACTAATGCTGCACCACTGAGGTCCATTATGTTGACAGATATCCCTAATATTTGTGTTATATAGTAGTGTCATAAAAATATTAGGAGCAATATACTGCACCCTTTAACAGTATCACTATCATCCATTGAGATCTCAGTAACAAACATATGAGAAAACATGTTGGAAAATATAACTAAACTTGCTAAGAAGTTTTTACTTGTGTCTACTGTCCTGGAGAGAATCATGCCCCTGTCTAAAGTGAATATATATGCCATCTGCAGCACAAAAGGACTACGGTAGAGGGTGGGTGCGGTGCGCAACAGCGCACGAGATTGCAATATCAGATGTTGTTGCCCATTTCGATTTTGAAGATAAAATCTATCTATCTATCTATCTATCTATCTATCTATCTATCTATCTATCTATCTATCTATCTATCTATCTATCTATCTATCTATCTATCTTATCAAATATAAAGTTATAATAACAGTTGGTCTAATAACTGCTATAACTATGTTTTCCATTGTGTTTCTATTCAGTTACTTTTTTGCTGAATGAAGGGGTGTGTAGGTGGGTTTGGTTATGTACCACCGCATGTGTTCCTCCCCTGCATAAATACAGCGCAAACACGAAGAGCCCATGTAAAGACAATGAAGATCTGGGGACATAATCCCGAATAGAAGGGGTATTTATTTTCATTTCTTTTTCATCATGGAAATAGGGAGTATCCGTATGAATAAACAAAAAGATACATAAATAGACAATAAATACCCAAAACAAATTAGCTGAATTTTGTTGTTGGGATTAACCATCCAGCTCTTTCCAGGATCCAAAGAGGGTTTATAAACTTTTTTTTTTTCTTCCACTGTGCGTTGTGTAACCAGAAGGGAGATGTTTTCTAACCGGGATGAGCGCAATGCGGAGACTCGTTTTTACAGAAAGGTTTTCATCGCACCTTGTGCGTAATGCCTTCAGCAGAAATAAGGATGAAGGTGTTAAAGGTGCTCGACAGAGGAGGACAGCGCGTGCTGGTGGCGTTTGGATGGCTTCTTTTATGGGCGACGCGCAGTGGAGCAGGTGAGGAGCGCCACTGCCTTTTTCCTGTTGATGCTCTTCATTTGATCCTTAAATATAATCATGCAGATTCCATTTCTACAACCTCTGTACCATGCTTTTCTGTAAAAGAGAAGCAAAAGTCTTAATCGATGTGTATAAGTGTTCTTCTTTCCATTCAGTGTAATCTGATAAACTCCTGATTCCCAGAGGTGGGATAGGCTGGATTCTTTAACAAGCAGCAGCAGTGACACCATTGCCATGTAAATTAATAATTTATAGAGTACAGAGTGAGGCTGACTTTGGTTTTGTCCATTATCTCAGCAGTGGAAACCGTATTTGTAGGATTTTATAGGGCAGACCCTCATAAAGCAGTAAAACGTGTTTAAAAGTGATTTATGTTCAGCCCTTAGATTAATAAAATCCAACAACCAACTACTAAAAGTCTCTTCAGTATATATCTCTGCTTTGCTTAGAGACTAAAATGACTTACCTTATCCGATTACAGGCACAGGGTCTGCAAACAGCAAACATCTAACTCTTGTACCTTGCCAGATATTAGAAGTTGATCTTTAACATCCACTCATGACTTGATGTTTTGGGCTTGTGTTGTGTTCGAAGCTGAAGCTTTGTGCCATTCTCAAAGATTTTCCATTTCAGGATAATTCTATATTTAGTTTGGTCCATCAATTTAGAGATGTATCTGTGCAGATTCCCTGTCGTTTCAGAGAAAAGCTTGCCTCTGCTGCCTCTGCCATGTCTCACTGAAAGGATGCTGTGTTTCATGTCGGTGTGCAATCACACTTAACACATTGTGTTTATCATATCTGACCAGAGCACTTTCTTCCACATGTTTGCTGTGTCCATGGTTTGTGGTGCACTGCTTGCAAGGCTTTAATGTACTGTACTTAACTTTAAAAATAGTCTCTTCTTCTCTCATAATAAACATCAATCTTTTGGGTCGACAGATTTTCCCACCTGAGTTGTTTATCACTGCATCCATTGGCCGGATTTTTGCTCTTCTAAAAACACCTGGCCTGTAAGATAAAAACAAAATCGCTCTTCCAGTTTTATGAGACTTTTTAAACAAGTGTGTTTATTTAACCAACTCACCTGGTTATTGTTTATTACATAATCCCAATGGTTTTACATAATCGGATCCTGATTATGAACAAATCAATGGAGATGACTGCAGTCGAATGAGAGAAGAAGTGGAGTTGGTGGAGGAACATAAATACCTTGTGTTCACCTGAACAACAAACTTGACTGCAAACAACTGTCAAGCCGTCTACAGATGGAGCAGACGGTCCTTAAGCAAGCCTAGGTCCTTCAGGGTCTGTTAGAGAGTGTTATCTCTTTTGCCACCATCTGTTGCGGTCACAGCATCAGAGAAAATGACTGAAAGAAGCTCAACAAGCTGTGTTCTAGAAACTCCTCTACAACCTCCAGAGATGGTTTAAAATAATTACTAAAATAGACAATGTTATTGACTACTGCAAGCTCTCATTCAGATTGTTAAACACAGCAAAGTGTCTTTATTCAAAGGCTGCTCCAGATTAAATGCCAAACAGACTACTGCGATAGTTGTTTTCTGCCTAGAGCTACTGACATTTACAACATCTTACTCCCTTTGGATCAATAAAGTATTTTTGAATTGAATTGAACTGAGGCCTTCATAAAATTGCTATATTTACAAATGTATACTGTGTTTGTTACAGCTTCTAGATGTGTAGACCAACCCTGCAGTCCACCCCTTGGGAATCTGGCCAGTGGCAGAGAACTTCTTACCCTGTCAAGCTGCTGTGTTAACAACAATTCCCACCAGCGTTTGTGCTCCTATCCACCCCATTTATGCCCAGATAACACTCATCCTCCTTCCTTCATGACCGACGACCCATTTTTGCACCCTGATACCTGGTGGGCATCAGGAGAAGATGACGTAAAGCAGGATGAGATCCGGCTGAATCTGGAGACAACTTTCTACCTCTCTCATATAGTTTTGGTGTTCAGGTCTCCCAGGCCTGCTTCCATGGTCATTGAGCGTTCAGCTGATTTTGGGAAGACATGGGAGGCTCTCAGGATATATGCTCACAACTGCAGGGTGGAATTCGATCTGGACGATGACCTTAATCAGCCGGGCTCACTTTGCACGTCCCGTTACTCTAATCCTCGACCTTGCAGTGGAGGGGAGGTAAAGGGATTTTCACAAAGATGTCAAGCATTTTCGGAATTTACATTCAGTGGTATTTACCTCTCTTCTCTCTTTCCTGCTAGGTAATCTTACGTACTCTGGATCCAAGCAGTGCAAGAACATTTGACCCATATAGTCCAGAGGCCCTTGTCCGCCTGACCGTCACAAATCTCCGCATCAGACTTTTGAAAGCTCAGACTTGTCCCGTGTCTATAAACTATTCAGCAGAACGGACAAACCCCACAGACTCATTAAAAAGCACACCCTCAGTACCATATGCTATTTATACCTTACAGGCCAGGGGGACATGCTTGTGCCATGGACATGCTGAATATTGCATACCATATAAAGACAATGAGGACAAAAGACAAAAAAGTGACATGGTGAGTGTCTGAGTCATGCATAGTATGGGCTACCATTTAGAAAGTTACCCATTCAGATATTGAGAGCAATATTTTGGGTTATTTAGCCTGCAAAAAGAGAAAAGCATGGGCTTGATTTTCAAAGTCACATTATCGTCACATCAATCAAACATTCATACATATCGCATTTCCTATCATAAAATTTAATAAAAAACAAAATATTTGATGTGTTAATTAAATATTTATTCAGAAAGCTAAATATTTAGCTTACAAACTAAATATTTACCCTAAAATATAATTATTAGTCACATCCTAAATGTTTAGGTCCAAACTAATTATTTATTCTGCAAAATAAATATTTACTTCCAATTTTTACATATTTAGTTTCCAAACTAAATATTAGGTAGTAAATTAATTATTTATTTACTAATTCAATATTTAGCCTCCAGTTAAATAATCATATCCTGACCTGAATATTTAGATAAAAAGTTGAATATTAAGTTTATAAACTAAATATCTATTTAAGCTCCAACCTACAATTTGAGATTGTAATTGGATATTTAGTTTTGTGCTAAATATGTAGATTGCTAAATAATAATTTATTAACAAGTGAGATATTTAGCTTGTAAATTACGTATTTAACTTGTTAATTTAGTTTGGTAAAGAAATATGGTGTTTTTTAAATATATGAATCATTTGGGGATAAAGTCATTTTGATACAAAACAAAATTCTCTAATTGCTGTGAACATTTGACTTGAGTTTGATAATGGCGTCCTATAGTACAGAGATGTGTTTGTTGGTTCTTTTAATGAAGTTTTCTTTTAAAGGATGTCAAATTTAGAAGTAAAATGTTATTCTAAAAATAAACATACAGCTAAATTGACTTTAAGTCATTGTGTATGCTTAAACTTTCCTCTATAAACTCTTCTCATAGATTTCTAAAATCCAAATAAATACTGTAATAACATTGGGTTAAAGGCTTTTTACACATCATTTCCAGGGGAGCCAAAAGCGTTTTACTTTATTTTTCTGCATAGTTTTTTTCCTTTTTTTTTTTCTGTAGTAAAATCCCAACAAAAGTATCTGTTGATCAAGTTAATTATCATGTCTTTCTTCTCTTGAACCTTGAACTGTTTTTGTCTGTGTATCAGACATGCGTCTGTAAAAATTCACTAATGTTGAATAGGAGACTGATGAGCATCTCACTTGCCTTCCAGGTATTTCCAAAGTGTCAATGCGTTCACCACACTGAAGGGGATCACTGTGAGAGGTGTGCCCCACTCTATAATGACAGGCCTTGGAGGCCTGCCAACGGCAGCAGTGGTGAACCGAACCCATGTTCCAGTAGGTGATCGATAGTTTGATCAGACCAAGTTATTTGACCTTTTTAGCCTCCAGGTCCTTGACTCTGGTCAAAATTGTTTATAATTTTTTTTTTTGTTCTCTCCTCCAACACCTGTAATGGCACCTCACTGATGTTAAAGAGTGCGAATGCCATGGCCATGCAGATAGCTGTCACCTCTCTCTGCGAGCTTGGATCTCCTCAGGTGGAACCAGCGGGGGTGTCTGTGATAACTGTAAACATAACACTGAGGGCCGCAGGTGTCAGCGCTGCCGTCATGGCTACCATCGCCGCATGTTAGTACCCCTCAGGTCTCCCCACGCCTGTACACGTAAGAGTCAACTAATTATGAATTAAAGATATAGTGGAGGACTAGGTGCTCGTCCCCATTTTCACCTAACCCTGTCCTGGGAAAAACCTGGCTGCTGAGAATACCCTCACACTGATGAGAAAAAGGATTAAAATATGAACAAAAAGGGAGCTTTTAAACATATTCTTAATGTTTTTTATTATTTCTAATGCATGGTTGCCCCAAAATGCAGAGTTCTGGTGGATAGATAAAGTCCAAGGACTACAAAATTACTTGTATGGAGACACGTTATAGTCAATGTGCTACAGTCAGTGTCGATGATTATATTCTCTGCTCAGTGGATAGCATTTCCAGCTTTTGTTATCAACACCATTCTATATCATTTCTGACAAAACATTAATATGTTTAAACGATCCCTTTTAAATCATATTTCAATCCATTTTCTCATCAGTGTGCGAAAGTTGAGGGCGATGCATGCTCCTGCAACAGGGGAGGTAATTCTCGGCAGGCAGGAATTTCTTACCATTTATCTATCCACCAAAACTCTACATTTTAGGGTATCCATGCATAAGAAATACAAAAATATTAAGAATATGTTTAAAAGTTCTGTCTTCATTCATATTTCATCCATTTTCCCATCAGTGTGCGAGAGGGGAGCTAATGCTCGGCAGGCAGGTATTTCTTGGCATAACACTGGTGTCAGACTGACATAGTGGAAAAATTGAGAATCATCTTCTGTAATGTAAGCTTGTATGAGCGATGCAAACAGCAACTTTCAAACAGAACGTCGACTTTGCCTTTGCACGCGTTTAATAGGTGTTTTTTTTTTTTTTAAGTAGAGAGGGTGGGTCTTTTTAAAAATTCGAGAAAATCTTTCACTATACCTTTAATTAAGAGGATTAAATATTAAATGTAGGAGAAAGATGGTACCAATATGTAACCTTTAGTGGTCTAATAGATGATCGAAGAAAAAGTTAATAGTTTTCACAAACAAAATGTGCATCTATCCATCTCAGGCTGCTGGTGTGATCCTCGTGGAGCGTTGCCTCCTCTACCTGGGGAGGTTGGACCCTGGTGCCACCCTAAAAGCGGCCAGTGCCACTGTAAGTCTGGTGTAGGAGGTGTGAGCTGCAGTCACTGCCTGTCTGGCTTCTGGGGGTTTGGAGAAGATGGCTGCAAACCGTGTGTCTGTCCACACAGCTGTGACCAGACTACCGGGCACTGTCTGAAAAGGTAGACATTTACAAAAACCCTGAAACAATACCCTTTCATTTGATAAAAGAAAATCTGAGCATATAACAATATAACAATGCAAACACCATTTCCAGTTTGTTTTTTTATGCTTAAAATGGCTTCCAAGCATAAGAATTTGATTATTTTTTTTATAAAACCAGATTTCATTAGAATAAATGGAGAGCATCAAATAAAAATCAACTGTAGGAGCAGATTTTTATTTAGTTTTGAGTGGGACTTTCTTGGAAACACCTGTCCTTTACACGCATCTATAGTTTCAAACACATGGCTGCCACTGATTACATTCTAGGAGAGCGGGCCCTAAAAAGTGAGCAAAAAATGATTAGTTTACAATGGCCAAGTTTGATAT